GACCGACTTTGCATTTCCCAACACCCATCAATAGTGGAAATAATCGATTTTTTCATGCTTCTACTGCAGTTTTTATGCAGTTTGCGGCCATTTTCTACTGACTGACAATATTCAGTCTCCCCCTCACTGGGGCAACATGTGACACAAGGTCGGTTATTTATTGTGGGTTTTCCCGAGCACGTGGCCTCGGCCCCAAAATATGCCAGTTTGAACCCGCCTAAACGGGTTCAGGGCCGGTTTAACCTCCTTCGTAGCCTCCTTCGGGTTCCTCTCCGTCCGTAGACAGAGAGTTGAACCGTTCTGTCGTTCAAGAATTGAGCGACTGACTGACTGACACGAATGTTAACTAGCATGCCAAAAATAAATCGATAGCTGCATTCGTCACAAGTGGGAAAAATTTAAATCTGCATGCCACTTTACTCCAATTGGCTATTCGCTTGCTTAAACTCAACGTTGATTCTGATTCCGCAGAACTGGGTTAGGTGTGAAAAAGTATTTGTTGTTAACTTTCTTTTTCATTCGGTTTTTCCAGTTACGAGTCCTTTTTTAAAGCTGATCGTTTTGTGTTCATTTTGTTTAAAAAATTCGCAGTGGGAGATAGGCAAGAAGTAAGGCATGTAGCAACATCAGCACGGCAAAGGGCACTCCTTTAAAGGCAAGGAAGGGCAAAAATATTTTAAGTCAAGTGATAGCGATTGCTGTATGAGTCGTACGATTTTTGAATCAAGCACGGGCAACGCCGGGCCATGCTGCTAGTGCTTATCTGTAGCAACCAGAACTAACTTTGACTGCTAGTAGCCGCAGGCGCTACGCTTTATTGAAATGTGATTGGTCTCTATAAATAATTACAAGGGAATTAACTTTGTATTTATTAATACGTCCCAAGGGATAAATTCGCTCCATCGACCGGACGTTCTGCAAGTCCTTTTAGAGCGTTTGGTAACTCTTTTGGGTAGTCTCAAGCCTCGGTTTTTCTGTGCCTGAAGACGTACTGGGTATAAACACGTCTTCTGCGTACAGGTTGCTCTTGTTCTGAAGATAGTGCTTTCGAATCGGGTTGCTGATGGGCTTGATTCTTAACTAATTAATTGGCAGTCCACATCTGTATTACTCAGAACACCCTGAGATTGATTCTCCTGAAATGGTAAGGGGACTCCGAATTTGAAGCACACGTAGATGTATCATGTGAACATTGATCGACCGTCCATTCTGGTATTCCGGGGTTGGTACTCCTGAGACGGTGGGTACTCCAAATCTGAAAACCCCGGTGAATTTGTAATTGTATCACGTGGCCAGTGATCGACCGCCCACTTTGGGAATGGTTCTCCTGAAGTAGTAGTTACCCGGAATCTGAAGCTCTCGACTACTGCGTAGATTAATCACATGGTACAAGGCGATCTCCTATGGCGAATTGAAGTGGTCCCCATATAAGATTCCCACGTGGTCGATGCAGACGTTGTAATAAATAAAGAATAGAACGTGACTGACCTCTGATTTATACAAGTTTTATTAAACAATATTAAAAATAAGTCCTTGCAAACTTAATTGTATCTGCGACCAAACTTATCTGCTGAAGAAGAGTCGATGTTTTTGTCATCTACATACTTCATGGTGATAACGGTGTAGTGTTGGCTGCTTCTGCAAGTGTTCATTTCTTAGGTCTTACCAAGTGTGAGTGTTCTTCAAAAAGAGGTAGAAAATCGCGCCAGTCAGCAACTGTAAACTGATTGGCTAATCTTAAATTACTAAGGGCTGATAATCATATCTCATTTCTCATACTTCAAGTGTGGTCATAGACATGTGATGCGGTGATTTCTTAACGAACTATATTAGGTGTGATTACATACGCGGGTGAGATAAGCAGTGTATTCATTTTCATCTGGATGTCGAACTAGGGTATAATGTATAATTCATCAACGGGCCAATGTTTATTGTATTCGGATGAAGCGTCTTAGCAAAACCGTTCCGGGTTTCGAGAGCTATGAAAGAAAAGGTGTTCGTGTTGAACATCTTCGTTGAAAGGGAAGACATCGTTTGGCGTAGTGTTCTGTACATAACAGAGTTTTGATAGCGTACAGAGACTCGTACAGGACAAAATATCTATAATACTTTAAATAGGGGTATTCGAAAATTCCACGGTACTAATGCTGTAACAATACTAACGAAAACATAATATTCTACATCTTTTGGAGGCTTACGACCACATCACGTTGAAACACGGGTTCACGTACGATCATCGAAGTTAAGCAACGTCGAGCCTGATAAGTACTTAGATGAGTGACCGCTTGGGAAACTCAGGTGGTGTAAGCATGACTGTGCAGATGGTATAAAAGATAACGGATCGGGATTTGAAACCAGAGAGCCAAGTTCTAATTCCAGTCGGTTTTGTTACGTGCAATTACCTTTGGGAAAGGTTTGAATCCACCCCAGCTATGGGTTAATGAGTAGGACTTGTATAAGTAAATTATTATTATCCCCAAAACATTCTTACAATTCGAAAAATACATTCCGACTTTAAATAACTCGCAAAAAGTTGATAAACCGTAAATAAGTAAAAATCAAACTCAGTAAATAAGTTCACTCAGAGAGATTTTCCCCAAGAACCGCTGCTTTTTGAAATAGACTCCCGCGGGGATAGTTCCATGAACGCGTCAATCTTAACTTCTTTGAGTTTAAGATCAATTGTTATCTATCCTCCATATCCTCGTAATATTTATTTCTTAAACTTACGTTTATATAACTCACCTTATTCAGTAAACCTCTACCAAGAGTGACCTTTAGGTCTTGTATTGAGTAAAGATTATATATATATATATATATATATATATATATAGGTTACTCAATATATAGAGGAATAGATAACAAATTCGATCATTACTTATATTTCGATCTCAAAAAAAGGTTGATGAGCCGTAAAAAACAAATCAATATGATTTTTTTTTGTTTACATTCGCGATAGCAGTTAATTCAAATATTTCTTGGCTTATTAACTTTTTTTAAAATTTTTGTCAAATATCTTTTTTGTGACATCTTTCAAGTCATTTTTTTTTCTTTTTTATTATCTCGCTAATATTTTCAATTTATTTTTTGCTTGCTCTGTGATCTGTTCAACTTTCTCAGATCGTTCTATTTCCATCACTCGATAACTTTATAATATCATGTTTCTCTTTTGATGTTATAACTTTCTTACGCCCCAGGCAATCTTTATAGATCTATAAATAAATCTTATTAAATACACCATTATACATATTCATTTACAATATTATAGTGATCAACCTTTGAATTGCATCAGAAAACCTAGATATAAATATTCACAGTGCGCATATATATATATATATATATATATATATATATATATATATATATATATAAAAGAAAGAAGAGCAAGATATATAATCCGGTGTTCTTATAGATATTTTTATTTTTACAAAATAGTGCTCAATGTAAATTTACAGAGCATTAATATTATAAATTAATTGATTTAAAATATGTTTATTTTTCGCTACACAGTCCTAACCATCTTTCAAAAATGGAAGCTAAAAGCCACGAATTTAATTTTTAGATTTAAAACCCAGTAATTTTAAAAAGTTACTCCAAAATTCACTTGAGGATGAAATGGGACTAATGTCTTTAATCACAAAATTAAATTCGTGGCTTTTAGCTTCCATTTTTGAAACATGGTTAGGACTGTGTAGCGAAAAAATATATTTTAAATCAATTAATTTATAATATATATATATATATATATATATATATATATATATATATATATATATTTGTGTGTGTATTGAGGTTTTTCTTTGTTTTATTTGTTTAACGGCATATCAACGCCTTATAGGTCATTCAATGCCGAAATTTAATTTTCTTGTGAGCTTTGAAATAAAAATATGATATATGTCATTCTGCTTTCACAATTGACTACATGGTAGATGATACTCAGCTTTTATACATATACATGTTTGTATGGACATGATTACTAGAGGCCGTGTAATGTGGGCTTTATGTTGTAGTTTTGTTGAAGTTATATTTTGACTTACAGTTTAAGAAATTGCAGGATATTATATGGATTAATGTCATGAAAGAGTTCTTTCATGTTGGTTATTTGGTTGGTTGATTTTGTTCAGCTGCATATCAATTGCTATGCTGAGATTCAAATATTTTGAACACAGCTTCAACTATAGATAAAATGTATTGTTGGTCATTTTACGTTAAATATGTATTGTTGTTAATTTTACTATAAATAGGTATTTTAGGTTGGTTGATTTTGTTTAATGGCATATCAACACCTCTATGGGTTTTTAATATCGAAACCTAAATATGTATTGTTGTTAATTTTACTATAAATAGTTATTATTGGTAACTTTATTATAAAATGTATTTTTATAGTTTCATAGTTTTTGTTTGGGGGTTCACTATTTGCCCATAGATGGAACCCTAGCAGGTGCTACCACGCAGGGTCAGGGTGCACCTGGGAACAACAACAATTAAGAGGCTTTTCCACGCTCCTCAAAGCCTCCAATCTCCCCATCAGAGGCCTTACTGCTGCTGGACTATGTTGGAGGTTATGCATATATGTGTGTGTGTCTGTGTGAGAGAGAGAGAGAGAGAAAGAGAGATGCGGGCGTGGTATATTGGAAGTTCGAGGGGGGAAGTGTAATATTTAACAACACAAAAAATGGAACCCGGAAGCCAAGCTTAAATTTCATCTGAACCTGTTTATATTCAGTCGGAAGCAATGCTCTTTAGAAAGGCATGAATTCAATTCTCCCTGCACTCTGTTCTATTGTCGGATATCCCAACAGATATCTCATCCCTGGCATAAAACGATGGGCAATGAGAAGAGTGAGGTAGAACTAAGATAAAGCGCTCTCTGATATGTACCTAGATTATGTGGATTCATTCCTGTCGAAAAGACATCACTGTACGAAATGCCCCACCCAAAAGTGTCAGAGTGAATACATACAGACTTAGGTATAAAACCGATCTATAATCCACTTCAGCCTTCTCTTTCACTCTTTCCTTTCTGTCTCCCTTGATTCTGTACAATTATGTCATTTTTTTTTATCTCTCTTTCCCCCAGACCTCTGCCTTCCTCACTCCCCCGTCTCCCCCACCTCTCTTTCTCTCTCTCCAAAACACTATTCATAAGCCAGTGCTTCTCACCTAGGGAGATATTACCCCAGAATGGATGGAGAATTTAAGGGCTACAAAGGAGGAATTGGGACCCCAAATTGACCGGACTTGAAAATTTATTTTACTAATTGTTCACCTAATACAAGACTTAAGAGCCACTCAAGGCAGAGGGTTACTCAATGAGGTTGTTGTATGAACGTAAGAGCAGAGGGCGAAATATGTGGCGATCATAAGGATATGTAAGATAGATAACGGCATCGTGGGAATCATAAGGATATGTAGGAAAGATGAAGGCTGGCCGTTGGCTTGAAAAGGTTAAGATTGTAGCGATTGGAGAAGTGTCCACTCGGGAGTCTGTTCTCCCAGAGTAGCGATTCTGACGCTGTCAGAATTTATTAATGGTATACGAAGGGAATGGGTATGATTTTCCCTAGTGTACATGCCATGGCGGGTCTTAGCTGTGAATGTCTGAACTGGTTGAACTAACGGATGTAACTCGCCTGAACATTTGCTATGGAAATATCGACAGACTAGCGAGAGGCTTACGACGTTTTGTCTGTGGCAAAAAGGGTTTAAAGTTTGAAAATAATTCATCATGCACAATACTGCATCGACGCTTTTGAAATCTGGAAAGGCTGAAGCTAGAATTATTAAAGTCGCTAGAAGGCGTACCATAGGCGGAATATAAACTTACTGCAATTTATGACGGAGATCAGATATTATTAACCGTTGAAGAGCACGCGTGAAATTGTGGGCGAGTGATTGTGGGCGAGCAAATAAAAGCAGAAGATTAACAGAAAGATCTACAATTAGAATATTTATCTTTCAACAGATTACAATGTAACTTTTGAGTCAGATAATTTTGGATATGGCGGTGGGGATGACATTCTGAAATATGATGACCAAGATGCTTGGGGAAAAGAAAACGGTAAGAACTACTGTAGTAGGCGAAACACGACACTCAACAACATCAAAATATAAAATAAAAAAAATAAAATAACAACAACAGTCTCAACATCTTATCTGACCGGTTTATTTGCAAAGAACTCCTACCCTGAGACTACCTAACCCCTACTGATCCATACTACCCCTACCCGATGAAAACGATCTCAATTTTTACATTTTTTTTTCTTCTTTCCTTTCCTCGCATTTTCCTGATGCCATCCTACACATCGATTCCGCTCGCTTCTCTTCGCACCCCCCTCCCGGCGATACCATCCAGCAAGTCCCGGACACGCCCTAAATCTCACCTTGGCACCAACTCACGAGTGTCAGTTTCCACGCTAATCACATCTGCTAAACAGTATGTGTGGAGATGAAAGAAAATTACAGAGACCGTTTACCTGATGCTTCCCAACAACACGCGACCGGATATATGTAGATATTTACGAAAGTTAACCAAGGGTGGCACATGATCACAATAACGGAGCATACGGTGAAAACTGAACGCCCGAGGCACTATGTCACATTTTATTATTTAAGTCAATGTTTGTTTACATTATTTACAGTCGGACTATAACTACATCGTTGTTGTTACTATCACAACATTTCGGCAGTTGTGATCTACAGCCTTCTTCAGGTGATTATTGATCTGGATAATCTTCAGGGAATTTCGTATTGAACCTTTTCGTAGCTAATCTATTTTAGTGTCACTTTTTCCTCTTTGTCTCTCTCTCTCTATCGTGTATAATTTCCCTTTCTCTCTCTCTCTCTCTCTTGTGTAATTTTTCTCTCTCTCTCTCTCTCTCTTGTGTAATTTTTTCTCTCTCTCTCTCTCTTGTGTAATTTTTCTCTCTCTCTCTCTCTCTCTCTTGTGTAATTTCTCTCTCTCTCACCCTTGTCTAATTTCTCTCTCTCTCACCCTTGTCTAATTTCTCTCCCTTGTCTAATTTCTCTCTCTCTCTCTCACTTGTCTAATTTTTTTTCTCTCTCTCTCCCTTGTCTAATTTCTCTCCCTTGTATAATTTCTCTCTCTCTCTCTCCCTTGTCTAATTTCTATTTCTCTCGTCCTTGTGTAATTTCTCTCTCTCTCTCTCCTTTATGTAATTTCTATCTCGCTGTCCCTTGTTTCATCTCTCTCTCTTCCTTGTGTAATTTCTCTCTCTCTTCCTTGTGTAATCTCTCTCTTCCCCCTTTTTTAATTTCTCTCTCCCTTGTGTAATTTTTTTCTCTCTCTCCCTTGTGTCTCTTTCTCTCTCTCTCTCTCTCTCTCCATTGTGTAATTTCTCTCTCTCTCTCTCTCTCTCTCTCTCCATTGTGTAATTTTTCTCTCTCTCTCTCCCCCGGTGTAATTTCTCTCTCTTCTCTCTCTCTCCGTTGTGTAATTTCTCTCTCTCCCCGTTGTGTAATTTCTCTTTCCCACTTGTGTAATTTCTCTTTCTCCCTTATGTAATTTTTTTCTCTCTCTCTCCTCCATTGTATAATTTTTCTCCCTCTTCCTTTTTTTAAAATCTACTCCCTTTTCTATCTTCTCTCTTATCTTCTTCCTCCGCTGTTTTTTCATTCCGCTATCCATTTTTTTTAATCAATTCACCCCAAGCAAAGCGATAATGCCACTACGACACAAGATTGATTGATTCGTTTTCTACGACTTATCAATCCTTTGCAGGTTATTTAAAGCCAGAAAATATTTTTTATTATAAGAATTATGGGGGCGATAATGATTTTTAGCGATACAATTTTTGCTAATTAACCCATAGCTGGGAGGAGAAGAGGTAGATTCATGCATCTCCCAAGGGTATTTGCACGTAAGTGAATGTAATGAACCCGACTGGAATAGAAACTCTGCTCTCTGATGAACAATTCTGAGCCATTACATCACCCACACATGCAAGCTTACAGTATCTGATATTCCCAAGCGGTCACCGATCTAGGTACTGACCAGGCTTGAGGTTGCTTAACTTTGGTGATACTACGGGGACCGGTTTTTCAATATGTTATGACTGTAAACTCTAAGACGCAAGGAGCTATTGGGAGTGAAAGGGAATTAAAAACTTTAGGAAGAACCAAAAACAGAATCCTAAGCAGGAAAGAAGGAATAAACTTTCTACCTCCGTTCAAAAGACCAGGCGACCAGCGAACGTCTCCTTTTTTGTTAATTGATCTTTTAATACGGCTCGGTAATAACTTTCACATTTTCCACAAAGAAGTCAATCGTAGTCGGCATCATCCAGGCAATACGAACGATCCTTTCTTTAGCTGCATAGTATGTGCTTCACCAGGGCTACATACAGTTTTGAATTCAGAGTTTTCCTTCTCCTAGATCAGTTGTCACCCAAGGCTATAGAACCCAGTCTGTTAAGGAGTCGATCGTAGTCGGGATCATCGAGTCAATACGAACGATCCTTTCCTTAGCTGCATAGTATGTGCTTCACCAGGGCTACATACAGTTTTGAATTCAGAGTTTTCCTTCTTGAAGAAACCAGTGTGTCCTGCTATCTAGCCATAGCTGGAGCGCGGAGAAAAGAGATGGTAGCCTTGTGGGTGATGAATTATTATTATTATTTTAAACCCTATAGCCTATTTCCCGCAAATACAACGTCGCTAGCCTAATGCTACCCTGTTGCTATTTTCGTGGCTAATGTTCTGACGAACTACTGGCCTAAGTTCCACAACTTCAGACCTTTACAGCTAAGACCCGTCCTGACATGTACACAGGGGCGAGACATCCACATCCCCTTCGCATTCAATTGGCACAAAGGAAAATCAACATCATATCCATCAAAGGAGATGTTTGTTGACTTGTCTGAAAAAGACGTTCACCTCATTCGAATAATAATCTCTTCTTTTTATTTCACGTTTTAAATCCAAGTGAAAGGAGTTCGTTCTATGTTTATCTCCCTCTTTCTCTCTTTCTTTTTTGTTTTTCTCCATTCTATACTTTCTGTCGGCCTATCTCTCTCTCTCTCTAGTTTTTCTCCCTCTACTCTCGCCTTCCTTATATTTATATCCTGTCTCTCTCTCTCTTTTTCTTTCACTTTCTGCTTCTTTATCCATTTTTCTCAGAGACTGTTTGATGCATAAGATCGGGTGTTGAAAAGTTCTCAGCCCAAATTACCCAAAATCTGAAGAGCGGTTTCTGGGTTGAACCAAGAAATTTTCATCACCCCCTTATACTAGGGAAGCTTGAAAGAAAAGAAATGAAAAATAAGAAATTGATGGCAATCATGTACTTGTAAAATCCACATAAACAGAGATGCCCATGTATATGTGGGAAAAGATGTCCGTCTCATTTAAATAATAAATATTCCCCTGTGCCTCATTTGACCAATCAAATTTGGTAACTTTCAAAGGATTTCTTTTTGTCATGTTCAAATTGCAGACCGTTTGGATTTCTGAATTGTACGCCTAATTTCACGAGGAAAATAAAATTTCTTAAAATTTGGTTTGTTTTGTTTCGTTCTCGCTTGTTCACTCACACACTCTCTCATACATAACAACATACATAAACAATGATTAAGTACATTGTTTCTTGAACTTTTAAACTTTCGTCGAAGGTAACGTTTTCATCATTTTAAACCACTGGCAATTTTCACTAAGGAAACTCAGACGTGTAAATATTTTTACATTATAAACAGGAAACGGTTATAATTTTTTTTTTTTTTTTTTTTGGTAAATGTATATTGTAACACCCGAGCGCTAATATCCCTTCAAATTTTTCCAAAATAGTCTTAATTCCGTGCAAATGTATATGCTTAACTCAAATCAACAATTAGATATTGAAGAAACCTATCTTTTTGGATGTTAACGACCAGAAATAATTGGACTTATTCTCGCTCTTCTTGTCATACTTTACGGCCTTATTGAGAGACATTCACTGCTGAACGATTTCGCGCATTTATACAATTTTGGCCTAATTACTCCCTCAACGAAATTAATACGCGTTTTTTTTTTCTTTTTAATTTAAGTAAAGTTAACTTTTAACTTTCAAGTGTAGATTTTACTTATTTTTTTAAGAAGAAAGTTAACTTTCAAATGAAAATATCGACAAATAAAAGAATAACAAAGTAATTTTCAAATGTATGAAAATAAGTGATAAGTGTACTTTTTAAAGAAGAAAGTTAACTTTCAAATATATGAAAATATCGATGAAAATACTTATAAATTATAAATAACAAAAAGAACAAAATAAGTAGGACAGTAAAGCATTTTTTAATATTATACATTGAAAATAAAAAACAATAATTAAATCAATTGTAAGAGGAACTTAAAAGCTTGGAAAAAATCCTAACCCTAACCCTACTTAAATTAAAGGAACTTAAAAGCTTGGAAAAAATCCTAACCCTAAACCCTAACCCTAATTAAAAAAAAAAAAAAAAAACGCGTATTAATTTCGTTGAGGGAGTAATTAGGCCAAAATTGTATAAATGCGCGAAATCGTTCAGCAGTGAATGTCTCTCAATAAGGCCGTAAAGTATGACAAGAAGAGCGAGAATAAGTCCAATTATTTCTGGTCGTTAACATCCAAAAGGTAGCTTTTTTAATATCTAATTGTTGATTTGAGTAAAGCATATACATTTGCACGGAATTAAGACTTTTTGGAAAAAATTTGAAGGGATATTAGCGCTCGGGTGTTACAATATACATTTTCCTTTTTTTTTTTTGGAGAAGAAATATAATTTTTATTAATTTTTTATTTATTTTTATTAATGGATGCGTAGGTTCTTCTGTATTCAAAAATGTCTGAGGCTATTGTTCTCTGGGACAATTCTGAGTCAACAACACTTGTGGAATGGAGTAAAAATACTAAACAGATATGAATACTTGTGTGCCATACGTCTTATGGAATCAGCGTATATACTAAGCCAGTTATGGGCGAACTGCAGTCCGTTGGCCACATACGGACCGATTTCTGAATTATACGCCTCATGTCCCGATGAAAAAGACATTTCTTAAAATTTGGTTTCTTCCGTTTCGTTCTCACTTGTTCACTCACACACTCTCTCATACATAAAAACATACATAAACAATGATTAAGCGCAATGTATCCTGGATTTTTTTTAAAATTTTCTTTGAAGGTAACGTTTTCTTCATTTAAAACCATTGGCGATTTTTACTAAGGAAGATCAGACGTTTGAGAAACAGGAAACGTTCATAATTTCTCTCTCTCTCTCTCTCTCTCTCTCTCTCTCTCTGGAGAAGAAATATAACTTTTATCAAAATATTTTTTTGTATTTCCAAGTGAATAAATTAGAAATTAATCACACTGTCATCTGTGTTAATATTATACCAATATTTAATTTTTTTTAATTATAGAATTTTTTTTTTCAAAAAAGATTAAAAAAAAATCCCTATTTTTAAGACAGACGTTGACGCGTGGGTTGAAGCATTTTCAAAGAAAAATGACCTTGAATCTTTTTTAGGGCAGCCTGCCTTATGGTGAGCCATATCTTATGCGGCCTACTGATCGGAAAAGTCTGTCCATGCCTAGTTTAAAGGCTTTCTCCCTTTTTTTCTTCTTTCTCTCTCTCTCTTTTCTGTAAATATTCTCCTCTATCCTCGTTTTATCTTCTGTCTCTTTATCTTCTTGTCCCTCTTCTCCCTCCTTTCGATATTTTAATGTCTCTCTTTTCTTTCAATCTCTTTTTATTTATTTCTTTTTTGCTTCTCTATGTCTCTTTTCTTCTTCACTATCTGTCTTTACTTTTTCTTCCACCATTTTTAGGCTCTCCCTCCCCCCTCTCTCTCCCTCTCTCATTCTTCGCTTTACCACTCATCTCTTTCCCTTCTCCTGCTGAGAATATTGGCTTAAAACTAATACATTTGATTGATTCATTCATTTTCTACGGCTTATCAACCCATTGCAGGTTATTTAAAGCCAGAAAATATTTTTAGATTGTAATAATTTTTGGAGATGTTGATTTTATTTAGTGTTACAAGTATTACTAATTAACCAATAGATAGGGGAAGAGGTGGATTCATACCTTTTCCAAGGGTATTTGCGCGTAATTGAATAAAAAGAACCCAACGGGAATTGGAACTCGGCTCTAAGATTAAAAATTTCAAGCCAGTATCCATCACACCACCCGCACATCCCAAACAAATCGACAAATATATACTACTTTTTTTATTAAAATGAGTGACAATATCCCGAGCAAAACTTGTCCCAATATAAACGGTCCTGTCCAGAAGGAAGACACGATGATGAACAGGCAAAGAACAACGTGTAATAGATAAGTTCACTGCGTGCCAAATAAGTATTTATATAACAAATATCAAATGTATTCTTCTCTTTTAATGACGACAAAATGACATCACATTTTCAAGCTAATTTTTTTTACTAAAGTGTATAAAAATATTTCGTTCCGAAGAGTCTTTTGCATCAAAGGTTATCCCATGATTTCATTAGCATGGCCTCAATGCTGGTGATTTTCGATTTTTCAAGGATTCCAAAAAGGAATAGTTTGAAAAAAGCAACTTCTTGGGCCACCGGTAGTTACTGCTGCTGATGTCGTCTTCCCACCACTCAGGACCGGTTCGTACTACCCCCGAACCCTCCGAACAGGAATAGCCTGATTGGGTGCCTCTGGCAGTGATTTGTGATCCTTACTATCTTATCAACTTTTACTTTTTTTTCTATCTACATTTGTATACATTACAAATTAACCTAAGCACAACTGACTATTAAAGAATAACACTTTTTGCGGATTTTGACATCATACTGGTGCCATTTTCTCGTTCAAATACGTGAATTTGTTTTGTTCATACTAAGTCTCGAAAAAACACTATATAAAATTCACTATTTTATTATTCATAATATTGAATGTGTTAAAATTATTCAACTTTTTAACAAGAAAAAACTCAAGTTGATGTTAAAAATTGCTTCAAAACATTGTTGATTTATTTAAGATGGAATGATCTATTATGGCATATCTCTAATTTGTATTTAGATACATTGTATTTATTTTCAATTTTTCTAGTTGAATTGTTCACCTATATTGCATATG